GGCGGCGGATTGGGGGAGGGGGTTGTCACTTCGAGGGGTAAAAAGTATAACTATTGCACTGTGTTGTATAGCTGAAACTAATTCTTAAAAATGTGTATTTCATAATAAAAATTAAAAGAAAAAAAAGGTCTCTTATTTGCTCTTTGCATGTCAAGATGATTTGTTCATTTAACATGTCATTGCACTCCTACGATATGTCAACACACTGAAACCCCTACCCCACCCCCCTTTTCCAGGAACTGGTGATCTAGGGGCAAGTGAGGCATGTAGATAGGACTTTTTTTATTTATTTATTTTTAAGCTGAGCCATCCTGCCACCTATTGGCAGCTCAGGGGCAACTCAGCTCAGGCCAGGAATTGAACCGCTGTTGCTCAGAGCTCACACTCTTGAGCGAGCTCTTGACCAACTGAGCCACTCGGCCGGCCCTAGATGGGACAACTTCTAGTACAGCAAGGTAAGAGCTGAGGGACCATGGCAGGGGGAGCAGCTTGCCCTGCCTAAGGGAGTCAGGGAAGGATTCTGGAAAGAGGAAATATCTGAAATTGGCCTTGAAGCAGGTATAGAAGTTGGCTAGATAAAGGTGGTGGTAAGGGTGGCTAGGAGGTGGTAGGGCAAGGAGGGGCGTTCCAGACAGAGAGAAGTCAAAGCAGAAAGACGCAGTGTCATGCAAGGGTCAGGGCTATTTCCACTTAATAAATGTCATAAAAATTTAAGAGATAATTATATGGAACTGAGAAAAAGCAGCTGGATAAATCCTATTAGTGCTCTACAAAAACACTGATAAATTAGCATTTATGGTGCAGATTTTTTACACTGGCAAAGAGAGCCCAGTCATATATTTTTAAAAAGTGTCCTCTGTTTAGAAACCTTTTTTTTAAATAGGAAAATAATTTAACAGCATTTTTTTTTTGTGTGTGTGTGTCATCTATTATGTTTGTTTCCTTTTCATCTTGAGTGCTGGATCAAAAACTGTCCATTTTACTGCAGTCAAGTTAATTTCATTTCCTTACTTATGCAGAGTGATAACAAGTAGTGGTTTTAGTTTTGCTTCTTAGATAGAGAAAATTATTTTCTCTTTCTTTCTCTTTATCTCTCTCTTTCTATCCAAACATAGCCATGTATACTTTTTAAACTCACTATAGTTTATTGAGAGGTTGATAATAAATTACATAATATCATGGTCTTAACCAACGACGCAACTTTAAGATCAAATGCATAATTAATAACCACTGGTAGAACCAGTATTTACAGGACATAAAATAATCCTGTGATAAAATCACCAGCAGGGGACCTCCCTTCTCCTGAGTAATTGATTCTGCAAATGACAAATAACAAAAGCTTATGGGTACCTGGGGTCTGGGAAGAGCAGCATGATGAAAAAGCTGCTGTGTGTGTGTGTTCTGGCTCAGGCCGCATTTTGAAGTAGTGTCACTGTGAGTGGTGAAGGGCTGAGAGTGGAAATCCCTATTAGAAAGCAATACAACCCACAGGAGATCGGTGTCTGAGGAGCTACTGTTGACGTTCTTGATTGTATTTGCAATTTTTAATTTTAACAAACGGTGTTGAATTTGGAAAGGGGATGCAAGGCTAGTGGTGGGAAATTTGCTCAGGGTTATTTTAATCCTTCACTCAGATCTACTCCGACGAATCTGACAGCAGGGATCTCGTGGCAGTTTTCAGCACTTGGCTTGCCTCTCTGAAAAGAGCCTAAGGAGGCTGGTGCTTTTATTTCTGTGGGGGAATGTTCTAGAACAACTCTGCAGCCAGGCCTGGGTATCATGATCCCTGAATGGGGGTGTCAGAGGTGGGGATGAGGAAAGTCCTACTGGGGCAGGTAGAAGTGTTTCTACTGCCATGGCCAGTGATGGGTGATGGTGATGATGGAAGAGGAAATATCGTTGTCCACACCCAGAGATGCAATGCAAAGAGATGATGCTGGGGCTGTCAACTTACTAGAGACTTTATCCTCCAGTCACCCTGTCAATCAATGTGCCCCTCTGGCGAAACCCCACAGATGTGAGATCGTCTGTGCACATCTGGCTAACATCATGTTGCCTGGAGGCAGGAAAGGCAGGCTCTGGGAAGAAATACAGCTTGCTTTCAAAGAAACTTCATTATACTTGAACAACTCAAGCTTGAGAAGCAAAATTTGTAAGACATTGAGAATATATTGAAATTTGGGAGGCAGAGGCCACTGGGATTGATCTTCTCTGTAGGTCCATGCTGCTTCCTGTGCCCTGCCTCCTGTCCTGTGCTGATGGGGTTGTATTTTGTTATTGATCCACCATACCCCCAGCTACAGAGAAGCCACTGCATTATTCAGTGAGGTCTGAGAGTGGACAGGGGCTAAATTGCGTCACTTTAATGTCTCAAGACCTAAAGAACCCTTGAAGGCAGTTAATTTCAAATTAAACTGGTTTTCAAAGACCATGATGAAATGAGTACCTGCAATGGTGATTACAGTAGAGGGAATTGGATGTTCTCTAGCATGAACTTTCCTGAAGACTGGTTGGCCTAGCAAAAGGACAGGCAGAAAATCAGCAGAATGAATTGTATTGGTTTGCTAGCAGAGCTTTGTGAAATTAGTAAGCCAAACATCACACTGAGATGCACACATGACAAGCAAGGTTAAGTTAAAGAATTGAGTGGTCATAGGTCACTCCACGTAGGTTGCAGAAGTGATCAGGTACATGGGGCAAGTGTTCTTACAAGCCAAACTAGACTATGTGGACGAACCACACACACCACAGCCAGGGAGTGTAGCCAGATTTCTGAAGGTGTCTGAAATGGAATACCCATGTCCTTCAAGTTACTGCTTGCAGAGGCAACATGAAACAACAGAAAGCACTTGGTGTGATGACAGATAGCCTGGTTTTCCTATTGGTGCCAAAAATACAGCCTAGAGCAGGCCATTTCCCCAGTTTTCCCACATGTAAAATGGGGCAATGGTACCAGCTCTGTCCACATCATAGGTTTGTTTCAGGAACAAGTAATGTAACATCTGGGGACATGCTTTTTTATTTCCTGGGCAGTACGAATGGGAGAATGTTGTATTCACTGGCAGGCTTTATAAGGGTATACCATGGTCACCGCAACTGTTTGGATTACCTAGGCCTCGGGTTTTCATTCAACTCCCGGTTCAGTTGACTGCCATATCTGCCTGCTGTTGCCTCCTGCGAAGAGCTACCCACACCTGATCTGGGAATCATGAGATTGAGGACTTGGTGCCAACTCTGTCACATGCTTGCTGTCTAAACTTGGGCAAGGTATTTCTCTTCTCGGAGACTTGTTTTCTCAATGGTAAAATGAAACTGAACTTGAAAAGGATTTGTTCCTCTAACCTACGTACTAGAGTGATTACAGTGTTTTTAGCTGTCAGAATTTTCATAGTTCAGCTTCCTTAAAGAGTTCTGTGCCTTCTTTAGTCTATTACTTGATGAGTATAATATGATGGGAAGAGTAAGATTTAAAAAGGTATATTGACTGTTATATACTTTTTAATTAATTAGCGAACTCTACAGCTGCCTGTTTTTGGAACCAAACATGCCTCTCTCCTGTCCAAACTGAGCCAGAATACTTAATTTCATTAAAAATATCCAAATTCATGTGCTGTTATTTCCCCCTTGTTTTTCATTTGACTGGAATTCATACTAATGGCATTTATGAGAAACAGCTGGGCTTTGGATTGAAACTGGGTAAAGATGCAGGTAGCAATGAAGGGATTGGAAGGGAGGAACTAAAAGTGCTGGGTTAGAACAGCCTTCCCATGGCCTTGGACTTAAAGTCAGAGGGCCACACTCTGAGTTCCGAGTGGGTGATTTGGGGTAGATGGATGAATCTCTTTGAACTTTCATTTCCTCTCCTATAAGTGAGAAGAATAAAATTTTATTCCACAAGGCTGAGGGTTAAATGATATAACAAATAAGAAATGCTTCACCAACACTAATGAGCTGTAATGTATAAGAGGTTATCAGGTTAGGTGCTTGGATGGTCAAAGGGCAACGAGACCCTAGGTCTACACGAGGGCCTTTCCACGAGGAAACTCTAGGAGCAACAGATAACACTTTACAAATTCCGAAAGTATTACCTCCAGCACTTAATGTCCACTACTAATGAGGTCTCTCGAATATAGGTACTGGGCTGTGGACCAAACGACTTTTATGGGCAGAGTCCAAAGGCTAGATAGATTACATTCTCTCCACTACCCCTGCATCTCAAAGCTTTGATTTCAAAGCCTAAAACTGACTTCAAAGAAAAGCTCTTTGGGACTTACAGCTGCTTTGCACTGTGTAAATCTAAATTTTAGAACTTTCCCCGGGGCATCTATACAGAGTGGGTCCCAGACATTCTGGTCTCATTTAGAAGACGGGCCTTGTAAAGTGAGAGGGACAGGCCAATGTACAGATTCCCTGAGAGTTCTGGAATATTCTCTTGTTCGAACTGAATCAACTTCGTCTTAAGAAGAAGTAGTAACAATAGAAAAACTGCTATGTCAGATGGAATTTTCAGCTATAAGAAAGAACTTAATGAAGTACATGAAATGATAGAAACTTTTAGAAGAAGTGATTGTGTCCTCTTGGATGAAGGATGTATCCAAGGCAGGAAATGTTGGACGTTGTTGGACAGATATTCTAGAAATTGATATGAAAGATCTAAATTTTAGATCTTTTCTGGGAAAAGAAAACTGGGATCCTAGAAAACTAAAACTAAAGCGAATGCTCCAGAGATATGCAAGGAAGGCCCTAAAAGCAAAATCTGACATATTCAATGATAAAGAAAATAGGAAGATATCAAAACACACCACTACATTTTAACAAGGCATTCTATAGCCAAAGATTCTTAGTTAAGGTCTTATTATCAGGCTGTGGAAGACTGAAGGTGCTGCTAGATGCTATACTATTTCTACAATAGTTGACTTAAAAAAAAAAAATGTACTCCAAGAAAGCCATGAAGGCTGACTTGCCAAATTTCTACCTCCCTCCAATCTCACAAGGATAACTTAACTTATTGGGTGACAGAATCAGAATATTTCCAAGAAGACTTTAATGAGTTAAAATGATGGTATGAGAAAAAGAAGATAAAAGTCTTAAAAATATAAATTCCTGCATTTGGATTGAAAAGCAGCATCTGTGGCAATGCAGGATTGGGGAAACTTGACCTGGAAAGCTTCAGATGAAGCAGATTTAAGAAATCATCTACCGGGACTTGTCCTTTACAATTTCTCTCTGAGAGTTTGTGAACCATTTTGTCATTAAATGCTGTGTCTGGAGAGAGGCAGTGGAGAGCCACATCCCATGTGAAATTGTTCATATTCAGAAAGTTCCAATTTGGACAGAATCATGTTGGAATGACTTGATTGTGAGTTTACACTAACAATGGTTTAAGTTAACCCCAACTCCCACCATAGCATTTTCAAAATTACAATTGTTGGAAACATTTCCTATTTAATTATTTTTTTTGTTATTGCTCAGCTATCTGATTTCAGAGAAAAACAATTAGAATATTGATATCTGCACAATATATCGGATGTTTGATGTTTACCTCCCTCTCTAAATCTGCATAAGCAATTATAAAAGGGTGAGAAAATATTTAGGGTCAGAAAAGAGGGCGCTGCCAAGAAATACCTTCCTTCTGTGCACAAGAACATAGCTTGAGAGTTGTGCTAAACAATGCACTCTACAGGGGCTGGGTACCTTTCTGAATTTAAGGGCTTTAAACTTTTTGACAGGCATTTTGAGTTTTGACAGAGCATACTGTAATGCACTTCAAGTGGTAGAAATGTTACATGTTCATTTATAAATGTTAATAATGCTGTAATTTAAGTCCCCAAAGAGAGGTTCGTTCACATTGATGTGGTGGGATTTTGAAAAGGGACTGCTCTGTTCTCCCCAACAGTGTCAGCTATTATTGGGATCCTGAGCTTGGGCCATGGAGAAGTCCTGGAAGTTAACTCCTATTTTTCCTTGAGGTCAACGTTTGTCTTATTTATTCTGGTACTTTTGGGAACATTTTGCAGGGTACACTGCACATCACCAGTGCTAGTGAACATCTGTAAATTGACCAGTGTCAAAATGCAAACAATTACGGGTTCTCCACACAAATTTGCTTATAAATAAACACAACACACACAACACACACAAGGTTAAATGTGTTAAATGTTAAATGTGTAATATCAGTAAGAGCACACCAGGTGCCACACTTAAATGTTAAGACAGGTTATATAAGATGTGGTTTCGGTTTTATTTTTGAGGGTATTTGGGGGGAAATGAGGACCATTAAAAGGAAATTGTCTTACCACAGAAGTATTTTCCTTCATTAAAAAAAAAATAAAAATGAGAAATGATTAAAAAAAAACATGTATACAATATATGGTGAGGACAGTAAAACATAATATCTGATGTCATTAGACTTTAAAATTTCATACCTGTTATTGTGAAGCCACCTGAAAAAGAAAAAAAAAAGCAATGTTACAATTTATTTAATCCACATTCTAAATAACAAATACCAGTGACATCAGGCTGCCTGACAATCCATCCAAGGTATAAAAACTTGCCAATTTGTATTTATAATTAAGAAAAATATGAAAACATCCATTCATGACTTAATCATTGATTATTCTTTCTAAGATTATGGGATTTAGTGCACGGATTTAATTCTGTGCATACATAAGAAATCACTGTTTTTTAAAAAAGGTTATACTAAACTAAAAATAGAATGTAAATTATGAGGCCAATGATCCTAAACAACAATCTTGCTAGTAAATCAATAGAAATAAAAGTCTGAAAACTACAGTATCACTTGACAGAAATGCAAAATTACCTACAAAAATGGAAAGGAAATGCAAGAAATGAAATGCTTACCAAGCTCATTCAATAACAGGGCTGTGAAGGAAACAGACAAAGACAAACACAGAATAAGAGACCAGATGAATAATGAAAATAGGAGGAATATCAGCAGAAAGAAATCCAGGCAGATCTGATTGCAGTGGTAGGGAGCCACTGCTGAAATATTGGTGCACCCCAAGGAAATGTGGTGTTGGGAATATTTCCAAATAAAAAATCCCAACACTAATTTCTGCAAATGTGTGTGATTGATTATATAGGCATATATTTCACTCTTTATATTATTTCTTGACATTTAATAAAACGTTTCTACTATATATGTTTACATATAGTATAGATATCTAGTTTACCAAATACAGTAGAAACATTTTATGAAGTTAATCCTCAACTTTATTTGAGTGAGTCTTTTCATTCAATGTTGCCTAGGAGTTAGTTAATTCAACATGTGGAAGTCTTGAATCATCTGAATCTCAGGTGCCGTACCTTTCATTCAATGAAAATGGATAAAACATCTTAGGAAATTTCATTTTGGCCAACCTGCTGGGAAGTACACTTTGGCTCAAGGTTAAGCTCTCTCTCTGGAGGTTCTATATGCATGATATTTTGGTCATCAAAGAACGTTTATGTTTTTTAAATCCTCAAAACTCAAGTCCCAGGAATTAGCGCTTTATTTGTGTGTTCTTATCTATGACTTCTGCACATTATAATTGGACAACCAGGATGCTTCTTGGGATGCATAAGTCCATGGAAACTGGAGGAGGGCATACATAATATCAGGTTATGTGCTTTAAACACAGACTATACTGTAGCACTTCATTTTGGTGAAAGCTACCTGGCTGACTGAATCAAGTAATTACTTCCAGAGTTGTAGCTGGGAATGTTACAATTACTTTTTCAGGCTCGCTTTAATGGTAGTGGTGCTAGAAGATACTTTCTACAAATCAGTAATTTTATTTATAGTGACAAGAATCCACTTGGTGGGTGTGAAACTGGATAGTGCTATCAAGAAATTTTAATTTGCTTTTACATGAGGGCATATGTTATTAAAAGGACGAGTGAAAAAGCTATATCCAAGATGCTCTTCCTTTAGATAAAAGGCTGCTCTTTGGAGAAATTCATTTAGAAGTGCTTTTTCCTGTATGTTAATGAGACATTTTTGATCCCATCTTTGTAAGAAATCAGCAGTTTTCTAAGTGTCTTTTCCTCCTGCTTATTGCCTATATAATTTATTATACAGACCGCATTAAAATGGGTCCCAACCTCTTTTCTCCATCATTTGAACACTATTTTGAACACCATTTTGAACACTATTAAGTCAGGAACATATATATATATATATATATATATATATATATATATATATATATATATATAATTTTTCCTGATGGACTCTGAGGCCATTGAATTCTTACAAATGTGGGATTAAATTCCCCCCAAATGTTGTATCTGTATAGGAATTAGTTCTATATATTTGACTTTTTCTTTTACATGTAAAAGTATAAATGTCTTGCAAGGTGGTCCATCTAATTATCTCCTATACTGCTCTTATCAATTGTTTGTATACAATTAATAAGAACTATTAATATGTAGTATACTCATTTTACATATATAATTAAATGACTAAGACTTTTTATAAAATGGCCACTGATAGAGAATAACTATAGGTAGTCCTTGTAATAATTCAGAATGAAAAATGAACTTTAAAGCTGCTATAAAATTCCTGCTCTTATCAAATATAGACCCCATAAAATACATATAAAATCAAAGAAAGCAAAGAAATTCTCTTCTTTGTTCAAATATTTTCTAAAAATATAGTACATATCAATAAAAAATATCTAGTTATAGGGATATAGCTGTTTTCTTTTTACTACACATGTTAGAAATTTGTCAATTCTATAAGAAATTATAGATGCTGGAGCACAAGGCTGGCTAGGCCTTAATCAAGGGCTACATTCTTACTGAAGGACGGTACCCTTCCTACTAAAGAAAACTGATATGGTTTCACATATAGGGTCCCTTTCAAATGTCATATTTGATGATATGAAAAACATTATGCCCAAATTCACACTAGACTATTGATACCACTACCCTTTAAGAATCTCTGTTCTTAAAAACATTTTTTTGAGAACTGAGTGCTCTGAAGAAGCCTAATTATTGAATTCTTTTGACATTTCCTATCAGCTGCCATTAGAGTCATCTACCACTACTAATAGGTATCATTATGTAGTCTTTATCAGTAACATTTTAGGGGAGATTTTATAGTTGGAACCAAATTTTAGAATGATCCCCAATTAGTGAGAAACGAAACACATAAATCATTCTTTTGTATCATCACTTCTGAGTTACAGAAATCTCTTCCAAGCATTTATTAGATCTGGTTTCAATCAAGGTTAGTTGGCATTTCCAGAAGAAAATGGGCATTACTTGGTGCACTTGTGAATTAGGGAAGGGATATGGAACTGCTAAAGCTTCAAAGGAAATGAAGTATAGTACTTGGAAGCCGAGGAAGAGGAGAGAGTTAAGTGTGAGAGTAGGGAGACACGGAGAGAGAAGAGTACAATTTCTCGCTGGTATGTCTTTGTATACTCTCACACCTTTCATTCCTCTTCTTATCCATTTGGGTTCCTCAAGCACAAGGGAGAAACTGCACTCTTTCTCATATTCCTCACGGTCAAATATTTTAATGGTAATGATCTTCCTGTGGGAACACAAGACAAAGGCAAAACAAATGGTTGGAGTCACACGCTCATGCTAGGTGTTCACCAAGCTGAATGTTACTGTGATGTTATGGAGGGAGAACTGGCAACACATGGACCTCCTGAAGTATGTAAAAGGGCATCGTGGGTGCTCTCGGCTGCCTCCAGTGAGTTTTCTTTGTTAATGTATCATGTGCACAAATTCTTCCTGCTCCAATTAGCAGTCATGAGGCACCCCCACATTTGGAAAATAAATTATAAGGTTGGCTTCATTGTGGCACAGCAAGCATCCCCAATGACTTTCCCAGGCACGGAGGATTCATTGGCACCACTGAAAATTAATATCTCCGGCCTGTAATGAGCAGAGTAGCCAACATTGGCTGACGGAGCTACAGGCTGGGCCCACATTGGCCCCAGGTGAGATCTATGCCCTGTTACATAGATGGAGGGATATGTGTGTTGTAAGTCAGATTCTGAAGAGTGCAGACATCCAGGGGTGGCACAGGCTAGCAGAAGCTGTTGGGCTCAGCCCTGGAGCAGCTCCCCCACCTTTCTTCTCACTCATCTCCACCAGGCGGGGCTCTCCAATCTCAAGGAAGAAGGTCTTGTTTTTCTCATACTCCTCATCATCAATTACCTTGACTGATATTGTTTTGCTGAAACAGAGAAGAATAGAAATTGACGAACAAGGGAGAGGAAAGAGAAGAGAAGGAACATAAAGGGGAAAGCAAGGTTAATGAGCTGCACTTCTAGATAAACAGCAATCGAGAAGCTTCTGTCCTGTGAGTTTCTCCTCCAAGAATGAGTACTGGAAAGGTCTGAAAGATCGGACAGGTAACCCAATGCACAGCTCCCCTGCCAGGGCCACAGTTAGTTATTTCAGGAAAAAATACAGTACTCAGTACTAACAGGTTTATCACTATTATGAGAAGGAAAAGCAGAAGAACACAGACCACAATAAGAAGAAAAAAAAATTATTTAGTAAATGCCTTCACAGTAGGACTGTCTGAACTGTGCCTTGGAATTCATTCCTTCAGAAAAAATCAATAAATCACATCAAAATATGAACAGGGGTTATCTCTGAGGGTTAGGCTTATGGGTTATCTATCTTTTGGTCTTCATTGTGTTTTAATGTGTTTCCAAACATAATATTTTTTTAAAAGGTTTTATCAAAATAATAAATGTATAAAAGGGTCACCAAAGAAAATATAAAGTCTTTTATCTTACGCTACCCAATGTCCTAAAATTAAACTCTTATTCAGGTTAGTCACATTCCCTCCTAGATCATACGGGGAAGTTGTTGATGTTTTGTTCGTCTTTCCAAAGATGGAAGTGGAAGCCTCCCAACAGCTGTCTTGAAAAGTGGGGGTTTGAGGAGTCATGATGTTATGGGTTATTTTCATACCTCCCAAAGTTATAGTTTCAACTTTGTCAAAATAACACCAGTTACCCTACTTTCAAACTCCACTGATACACCAAGACATTTCGTTCAGAACTGTTCCTGTAATCCATCCTTGAGCGCTATTTGCCTTATGCTTATGGTCTTCTGCTTGAGAGTGACTGACAGGCAGGTAGGACTAATGCAAATATTATGCAGATCTCAACTTCTCATAAGCTTTGATGACTCTGTAAAAAGTCTAATGTTGCCTTCTAATTAATAAGGTCTTAATTGCTTCATGTGTTACAACTTAGAGCCCTCTCAACATTTGCTTGTCCTTGAAAATATTTGTTTTCAGTAACATTGGCCAAGAACATTTCTGACTGAAGCTTTCGAAACAACAAGTTTATATAGACACATAGTTTTAATGGCATGAACATTATTTAGCTTTGGTGGAATTTTCTAGGTCTTCTGGAAGGAACTGGTTTATAATTAAAAATAAATAAATAAATAAATTGTTGTTGATCCAAGCTATCACATTTCATTTAGACCCGTGCATACCAAAGAGGATCAGGCTGCTTTCCCTGGCTACAGGTAGAAGTTGCTTTTAATTCTATGAATTTCCCAGCCCCTGATGCTAAATGCTTTAGTCCTGCTTTCTTGGGTTTACATTGTAGAGGTGAGATCCAATGATAGGTTCTGGTCCTTCAGAGCCCCGGTAACCCACTCTCTGCTCCTCTGCTACAGACCTCCACGCATGATGCCCACAACCCAGTTTCTCACTAAGGAGTTGGAGCTCATAGCAGTGCCTTCCCTGTCTCAATTCTGTCCTCAAAGACTGAAATGCTAAGGCTAGAAGAGCAGCTGTACATGATGAAAGCAATTATTATTATTATTATTATTTACCAACAATGTGACAAAGTCCAACTACATGTATAGAGTGAAGAGTTCCTGTCTAACTTCTAGAACAATTTTCTGGAATTCATCTGTTTACCTCATGTATTTAAAAAGTCAGCCTTCCTTGACTAAACCAGGATATTGAATCATTCCTCACTATCCCCAAAATACAAAATATTAGAGAAAGCACAAGAAGATGTCAGATATGATGATAGTATGCTTTTTATTGAAGAACTGAATGTGATGTTATAAGTGGGATTAAATTTATTATCCCAAAACTTGCCAAACATTTATTCTCTTATGCATTTTAGGTATTAATTTCCATCTTACTGCCTTGTAACCATAAACTACAGTTGTACATGTCTCCTAAAGCAAATGCCATCATAAGACCACGTGTGGGAAGGTGTTGATGGGTATCAGAAGAGCCATGTTACTGCCTCCTGGACCCGATGACCCGACATTCATTATCAAGGCACTTTATGGATGTACATTAAACTGGATGTCATATTGCAATGCTCTTGCTTATGTTACTTAAAAACATTTTGATTTATCTTTCTCCATCTTGCACTCTCGTCCTGCATCTCAATACAGATTTTATGAGATAGTAGAAATAAAGAAAGCATAGTACAGATGGCTGGAGTAGCCTTACTTAATAGAGCGAGTGTTTGTTTGGGCAAGGCTACGGGTTTCATGCTGAAAGGGCAATGTGACCACTTATTCACAAACAAATAGAAACAACCAAACAACATGGTGTTCTTATCCTTGATGAATTTAATCCTCTGCTGCTGTAATAGCTTTATTTTCTATACTCTGAGTAGCTATGACTGTGAGAAATAGTGGGCCCCACACAATGTGTATAACAAAATAAGCATTTAAAATTTACCATGAGAGTATCACCATTCAATCGGCTCATAATCCTTTGAGAATATTTCAGTATTTGATAACTGTGACACTGAAAAATCAAAGATGAAGACAAAGAAAACAGTTCCTCTGGGTGCCTGGCAAAGATACCTGCAATAGATTGGATTTGCATAATGGCATATCATTTCAAAATCATTAGTAATACGATCAATAGTGCCCCTGACAGGAGGAGCCATTAAATTTTATATTGATTCTGCTCCACTTGCACAGTAATGGAAAACGATGATTGAAAGAAATTTCAATCAATTTAAAGAGGCAGGATGAAGTCAATCCTTATGAATTAGCCTCTGGCTCAAGAGAGGCAAAAATGAGAAGGGATTGGTAGTGTTCACCTTTTGCTTCTGAACTGAACTATTTCTACCCCTAGCAAAGGTAGCAAAGGTAAAACAGAGTCATGTAATTTTTAAAGGAATATATATCCTTGGGATGTCTTTTGCTCACTTTCTAGAGCCTAGTGCATGAACGGGACTGCCACCCCTGCTTCCATCATAGGGGATGTTACATGAGGCGGGGTTGATTTGGGGAAGACTCCAGTTGTTAATCAGCAGAAGCAGGCCTCTGTTCCTCCCAGTTCTGCAGTAGAAATAGAATCTCAAGGATGGAAGGGACCTTAAAGTTCCCCCCAGGTTGCCCCCATTGTCACACCAATCCTGTATTCACAGGGCTTTTGCACTGTCCCAAGGACTCCTCCCTGAACACAGGTTCCTGTTCTTTCATTCTGTTTACCCCTGGGAAGCAGTCAGATAGCCGTTGTTATTTCTTTACATTGAAAGGTGAACCGAAACAAGACTGAACAGGTAGGTGCACACAGCTCTTCATCCAACTACAACTCTTACACTATTCTTATACTGATAAGGAGCAGATGTCCCATACCATTTTCAACTGCCAGAATTACTATGAAGAAGGTATGAACTTCTCACTTGATTTTTTTACCTCTCTCTAAAGTTGAACAGAAAACTATAAAAAACTATGTTTTCTGGAAACTAGCAAGTCAGTTAAAAATCTTATGATTACATTAAGTGATTTCTCTGTATGGCCAAATTTTTTATGGAAATACATATGGTTTTATTTCTAGAAAATTAAAAAAAGCATTTGGTTAAGAAAGATCAATGTATTTAATAAAAACATACAGGTCATTCTGTTTGATTTTTGCGGTGCCTTTCCTTTGATGATAGTAAACCGACATCTATATTTTACTTCTCAGTCCCTCTCTTATCTGATGGGTCTCAAAGGACCTGAACACCTTCAAACATTCTAACAACGAGTTTGGTGGCTCAGGCAGATGGTGAGAAAGGAAAGAAAGTGGTAGCTTTGTTAGTGAGAGCGACAGAAGAAAATCTCTTCAAAATGTAGTCATGTTTCTCATTAAGCCAAAGTCATACTAGTCCCTTTTTCAATTTCAGCTTCAGTTTGTCCTTCTGTGGTGTCTTTCCCCCAAGACTGCCCTGAATGTTTAGAGAAGTGAGAAACAGACAAGTTGGAGGGTTAAGGCGAAGAGAGTCTTTCTAAATCCTCTGGTAAAAGATTTTAGTAAGGATTTCACATATTTAGATGCAGCAGTGACTCTTAAATTTTATTTTATTTCTTAAATAAGATTTAACCTCTCTTTAGGCATACTCAGAGGTCAGTGTAATGACAGGCACTTTGCATTTCTTAGTTAACTTATCTTCATAACACCTCTAGAAATAGCTTCTACTACTTACAGTTGACAGAGGAAACAATGACTCAGAGAAGTTAAGTGACTTCCAAGATCGCAAAGTGAGACTCCTGTGACTGGCTCCAAAGACCAATAACTTTCAATTATGTGACCCACAAGGTCCCTTATTCATTCAGCTGTGCAGTATTTTTATGACCACTTTCAAGGATCTGGATCACTATTTTTAAATTAACACACAGGTTTTTTTGTTCTATCTTGACGTTAAAAAAGACTGCCTAGGTGGGCAATGATAGATTACGAATTCTATTTTTAAAAGGAGTGCAGCACACATTGTATTCGATGAGGGCTGCCTTAAAAATGTTAAATCCTTGAGGAGGTCAAGGTCTTGTTAGGATTAATTGAAAAGTGCCATGAACCTGTGGAGGCTCACCAACTCGGAGGACTTTGAGCAGTCAACCAATAGCTTGGACCTCACAGGGGGGCCTTGTTAGAATTCCAGGATCTCAGGGCCCACCCTGGACCCACCCAATCAGATCTGTACTTTAACAAGATCCCCAGATGACACCTATGCAAGTTCAAGTTTGAGAAGTGCTGACCTAGAGAGGACAGTGGGTTCTTCTATTAAGTCAGGTAATGAATTAAGAGGCTGGTAATGGTTGGGCTTATGTTTTAGAACTGTTTGCATATTAGAATCATATGTGGAGCTTTGAAAACTTCAAATGCCTGGACTGGGCCCAGATCAGTGGAATCAAACTTTCTGGTTGTGGGACCCCAACATGAACATAGTTTTAAAAAATTTTTAC